CCTTTTAGAGCTTTTTAGAAGTAAATTAATGCAATCAATAATGGCGCTAACATTTTCATTTCTCTCTGATAATTTTCTCTCTTCTAAACTCTCTCTATCTATTTTCTGATCCATCTGATCCATTTCTCTATTTTCCCATCATTTGCTCTCTCAAAAATTTCCTGTTAAATTTGTCAAACAAGGAAATCAACTACTAAATTACATCTCTTATTTACATTGCAATAATTGCTCCATGCTCTCAAACTATTCAACTCTTTCAGAAAATTTCAAAAAAAAAGAAAAAAAATGATTGCAATGTTTCCAACCAATAACGTTTCATGTAATACAGTTACATTTTAAAGTATTTAATGTTTGAAACGAAATTTTTGTTTTTTTTTTTTCACTTAAAGTATAATAATTGAGATTTGCGTATTATCATAAGTAAGATTACTTATCGCAGCAATCAATTGTCTTGCAATCTTGCAAGAATCGAAGGTTAATTGTTAGTTTAATCGAAGGTTAATTTAATTTAAAAAAGTCAAATGCTATGTAATGTTTGGATCAGAGATCAGTGATAATGATAAGCCTTATGAATGCATTTGTAACTCATATAAATGTAACATAAAGGAAAAGTGATACAATTTGGATATCTTTTTTAATGCCGTTAAACTAAATTGGTAAAGGAGAATCTTTTTCAAAAATGTTATTCAATCATTTAAATATCGCGAATGTTTAAGAGAAAAAAAATGCTAAATTTCTATAATACTTTTTTATTGGCAATAAATTTTCTAACTCAATTTTAATAAATGAAACTATTCTGTAAATAATTTGAATAAAGAAAATTTTTAAGATTTTTTAATGAACCAAAAAAAAATTCGCCTAAAATAAAACAAAATAAATATAAATTCTTATATAAAATATCGTTTTTCCTGTTCTTGCAACAATAAAAATCAATAGTGAAAAATTATTAAAAAAAATAAAATGGTAAAGTTCATAAAATGTGAAATGCATATCACTAATATAAAATTCTTCCCGTAAATGGATTTCTCAAAAAAGAAACTTGTCATAAATCAAAAATGACAAGAAAAAGAAGAGAAAGAAAAAATGAAAGATAAAATGAAAAGGAAAGGAAGAATTGCAGTGGTGAAATGAAATTCAATAGATTTTGATTATTCCGATGTCGGAAGAATGAAGCCGAAGAACAAGCTAAAAAATAAAAAGTGCTTAGAGCGAAAAAAAAAGAAGAAAGAAGCAACTTGTTTTAATGCTTGCAATGAGATTCCTAACAAATATGTCCAACTTTTACTGAAATCTTTTAAAAAGCCGAAAAGAAAGAAAGCTTAAAATGAGAAAAGCAAAAAATAAAGAATAAAAAAAGTGTGGACATAACGAAAGATGCGGATATGTTAAAAGGTAATATTAGCGGGTAAGCATTTTCATTCAGATGTGAATATTCATATGAACGTGTTGCAAATCGATTTGTAAAAGCAAATTTATTAAATTCATGTTTTTTTTTTTGGTTATTGACTTCTACTAAAATTCAACATTCTTTTCAAATTTTATTTCCTTTCTTAGCATATAGCGCTTATGATCTCATCATAAATCAATTTAATTTTTCATGCTTTAAACAGCGTAATCTTCTGATTTTTGAAATTCCTGCCAATTATTGTTTTCATTAAGAAAAAAAAGGAAATTGTTTTAATTGGAGAGAATAGAATTTGAACGAACTTACTGATAAGATAAAATGAAATTTTTTTCATTTCAAAAGAAGAATAAAATTATAAGTGTGAAAATGAAGAATTTATGAAAGACCAAATATTGCGATATGTTTTATACAAAAATTAAAAAATAAAATAAATTAATACTGCAATGTTAGTAGATAAAACGAGTAGTTTAGTCAATTGTTCCATATTTAATATATTATTCGCAAATTAATAAAAAATATTGAAAATTAAAATGAAATATTGGTAATAAAAATGAAAAAGATGTGATGAGGAAAACAAGTTGAAAAGAAATAGTAATGTTTGAATAGTGTTGATGTCAGATCTGTCTGTTAGTTAGTCTGTGAAGTGTGATCGGTAAGTTTTAAGAGGGAAAAGATAATGTTAGCATAGAAAAGTAAAGAAGTTAGAAGAGAGGGGTAGCTAACAGAAATAGAAGAGCCCCTCTTTATAAAATCCTCTTGTTGTTTTTATTTCAAAGTATAACACTGAAGTTAAGATGGTGATGATTTCTGCTTCCAACAGCACTTGTAGTGTTATCTGCTCTTATCATTAAAGCTTCGTAAATTATCACTAAGACAAAATCAAAATTCAGATATATCAGTGGAGATAGGATGCTAGTAATATTGATGACAATGACATTGATAATAAATGCTAGTAATGTTAAAGAAATGATGATAATGATAGGAGCTGATGATAATGATGTGTTGGAGATAATGAAGATAATGATAGAATGATGGTAATGTTGATGATAATGCTGGTAAAGCGATAGTAATGCTAAAGATAATGACGATAATGATAGAATGCTGGTGATATTGATGATAATGATGTTGATGATAGGATGCTGGTAATATTGATGATAGCTATTCATCGATAATTGATATCACTCATGTTACGCAACTAATCATTCGAGCTTGATAAACGAAATTATTCGGAGAATGTAATTTTCTACATTCTATGAAATTACATCAATAAAATGCTGACAGTAATTTTTGTAAATTTACAACTAATTCTCGTCATGTCAGGTTGAATTAAAAAATCTTTATTTTCCTTTTTTTTGTGCATTTTTTTAAAGTTTTAAATTTTTTTTGTTTGAGTATAGCATGAGAAGAAACCCATTAGTGCACGAAATTTTAAAACGGAAAGAAATCTCAGAGCAAAGAATTTTAAAATCATTTAGTGTTTGAAAATCATGCAATGTAAAGTATAAATTGAAATCAATTTTTGAAAGAAAACACTAAATATTAATTAAAAAGCACTATAATAGGATAGAATATATAACATATTATTTAATTAATATTTGAAATTTTTACAAAATTTGGATTTTTCTTTTCATATTTTTTAAATTTATTACTTTTATTTCCTCAAATACTAATAATTCAATCTAAATGTTGAATGAGTTGATCATTTAACTGTACAATACCGTGGTACTGTTATTATAGTAAATCTGATCATTTTCAATCTGTTTCTTCCTCACATTTCAAAAATATCATTTATGCTTAAAAAACTAATGAAATGAAACAGACTTTTCCTAATATTTTGTATCAATTAATCAATATGCTCTACAATTTTTCTCTCATATTTTCAAAATATTTGCATTCAGTATTTAATGCAATTAAATTTCAAAATTCAATCGTACCAAAAATATTAATATTTTTCAATGTTTTAAAGACAAATTTTGGTCCATATTTTTAAAAAGTTTCATAACTTTTTTCAATTTTTGACAAAATTATTAAATATAATCTATTTCATTGCGTTATTTTGTTGTAAATTTGCTTTTATCATGTAATTTTTATTTCAATTATGAATCTACTATATTAAACCTTTTTTATTTCTTTAATTTATTATCCTGAATTTTAGCTGCTTCTGCTTATTAGATGTTTCTGCCGAAATGATTCATTCGCTGAACTTAAATACAATTGAGTATATAATACAAATTCGACTATTTCATTTGGTAGTACGACAAATTGAATCAGTTATATATTTGATTTGATGTTAGCCAGAACGAACATTACTTCATTAGTTTCACCACGAATTTAGCATCCCAGTAGGGAAATTTTAAAATTTTGATTTGAAATTATCTCATGAGCGGTCTATTCATTTGTTACTTTTTCTTGTCTTCTTATTTATCATTTTCGCTATCATTTTCGTTTATTTTCATTCTTCCGCACTTCTTGTTTCCATTTCATACAAAAAAAATATTCCACTAATTTAAAAATTTTCAACTTCAAAAAAAATTGCGATCATTAAAAAACAGCAGAACTGGTTTTAAGAGTAATCTGTTTTCTTGTCATCATTTTGTTATTAAAGCAGGAAAGGAAAAGCAATGAAATAAAAAAAAAATAAATAGCATAAAGAAATAATTTTATTTCGTGCTCGTGTTTTTATTAATGAATATTTTTGAAATAAATTTAGAATTAAAATTTCAAACACGAATTCTTATAGGAATTATCAGAAATCAATAGCATAAAGTATGAGCAGAAGAAAACTGGTAAAAAAAAAGCCTTACGGATACCATGTACTAAGTGCAAAGATTATTTTAAACTTTGCAAAAACTGATCAAGTTTTTCATATGATTTATAATTTTAACTTTACAGTATTATACTTTTATAGTTTAATATGAATTAAAAAATGAGGAAGAAAAATTGAAACTTTCTCGCAAAAACAACAGGCAATAACTAAAAATTTCGAACCAGTTATTACTTATATGAATTTAAATAAAAATAATCCATTTTGTAAAATTGATTCATAGCAAATTATTTCAATTGCGTACGATACTTTTAAAATTATCATTGAATATATTTTTTATCCTGGGGAAAACTGTTGATAAAACAAAATGATTTATTGTTTACTATGATATTAGAAAGCCTAAGCTATTATTGCTTTTACTTATTACAATGAATGAAAGCATATCATTCACTGACCGTATCAAAAAAGATTGTATGAAAAGATGAGCAAAAAAAAATAGAATTTAAAGTGTATTCCGAGGTGTGACAATCCGGTTCCGTTCCAGATACGCGTCCATTAGCTCTTTTTTGCTCACTTTAAAATAACCGCCTCATTTAAATCGTTTGTTAATTCATCGTCCTTTTTTTTTCTTTCAGAAGATGTCAGCAATTAGTTTGCGCTCACTTCCACCTCATTTAAATATTCCAATTTTTTGACAAGCATTGAATTCTTGCTTCGCACTCATCTGAATCGTACCCATCTTCTATGATTCTACTCGATGGTATATATATATAATGTTATTTTGAAATTTTTAAGATAGATTTGATAATTGATTTTTATTACAGAGATAGAATGACAGTTGCGCATTCTGTTGCTTATTCAGCAATCGGCTTGTCCCTTCTAAGTTTCACCATTTGTATTTACTCATTAAGAGGCTTAGCATCCAAAATTAGTATTATCAATGAAAAATTTATGGAAGAAGTGAAAGAATTTCGTGGAATGGAAAGCTATATTCGGTAATTTTATCATTTTTTTAACTGTTAATGATCAATTGATTGACATTTTCCTTTTCATGAATGATTTGCAAAAGTTATTCAACTAAAGATTTGTTAATTTTTCAAATTTTGATTATTACCTCAAATAGCAATAAATAATATAGCATTATGTCTTATTATTTGTTCCTCCTCAATAAAGTAAAAATTTCTGATATTATCATGAAAGAGAAAAAAATTGGAATGAAATGAAAAAATTTTGAGATACTGTGAAATAATTTTGAATATAATATGTTTTGACAAGCAGCTTGATTGGATAAAATTAATGAGTTATGATAGAAATGGAATAGAAACTGTTGTATGAGATTAAAGAGCAAAACTGATGTTTATAATTTCTGGAAATTTAGTGAATTTTTAATTTGAATTTTTTAAAACTTTGTTTTTTTCATTTATAAATGAATATTTTTAGTTGCTGAATTCGATGAATAATTTTTTTTTTTCTACAGAGGTGAATATCGTTACAAGATGGCTTCAGCTAGTTTTACTAAAATTAGGATGGCAAGACAAGCTCCTCAATGCCAATGTGATGCAAACAATCGCTGTCCCCCTGGGCCTCCAGGACCAGCCGGTTTAAATGGACAAGATGGAACACCTGGTAATACTAACAAAAATTTTTATGCTTGTAATTAAAATTTATGAAAAAAGTTACGAATATTTTTACATGAACATATTTTGCATTATAAGCATTAATTGTTTAACTCTATCATGTGTGATTTGCAGGTCTCCCGGGACCAGTTGGCGCACCAGGTCTTCCTGGTAACATGCCAGCTATTAATTATAACTTCGAAGGACATTGTCGTTCATGTCCCAATGGACCACAAGGACCGCCAGGTCCAATGGGGCAACCGGGACGGCCAGGTGAAAATGGATTACGAGGACAAGCTGGAAATCGCGGAGCAGATGGTCATATGGGACAACCAGGTCCACCTGGTTCACAAGGAGAAAGAGCACCACCAGGTCATCCAGGAGAACAAGGATTGCCTGGTCTTCCTGGGCCACGAAATGGAAAAGGATTACCTGGGCCAAAAGGACCACCAGGACAACCTGGACCACCTGGTCAATCCGGACAACCAGGCATACCAGGAAAGCAAGGATTGCAAGGAACTTCAGGTCCACAAGGACCACAGGGAGAACCTGGCCCAGATGGATATCCTGGATCACCGGGTCAGAGAGGTATGCCGGGTGCTAGTGGCGAAGATGCTGCCTATTGTCCGTGCCCGCATCGACGTGTCGCTGTTTCACTGCAAAAAGCCTAAATCCCTATATTCATCCATTCCGATAGTTGATTAAAATGAATTATTCGTTGCACTCATTTTGTTAAAAATATCACAACGAAAAAAAAAATAACGAAGAAAAAGCCATGGAGATATGCATGGGTAACAGTGTATTGTTGCATGAATTTACAATGAATTTTTATGTCCAATATTAAATTATTCTTTAAGAAATTATTAAGAAAAAATTTAGAAACTATGATCGAAAAAATTCGAATTAATCAATTGATTTTTTTTTTTGCAAAATATGGTATTGTTTGTTTGAGAGGTTAGAGTTCATATCGAGCGCAAGGATTATACATTTTTTAAATACTCGCCATCACATATATGATCTCTATAAGTAGTCGGTATTTTGAAAAAATTAAAATATACTCAGGGATAAAGAATTTATCGGAATCGATGATATCAACCTTTCTTTTAGATGTAATTGATGTAATAAAATTGGATATCAAAAATGATGATTCTTTCTGTCATCACTAATTATCAAATTTAAATTGAACAAATTTGGAGTTCACTCTATTGAAATGTGTTTCTCATAATGATAAAGTGGAAAAAATTTTAAAGTCATTTATTTAAATTTTGAACTTTTAAGCAAGTGTTTTTACATAATTACTGCTTACTGTAAATGTTTACGAAGTAATTTTGCAATGCATTAAATATTTCATCTTTCTGCACTGCATCGATTTAAATTTTATAAAACATGCTCTCGCAATGTTATCCGATCATTAATCAACGAAGAGCTAGAATGAATGCTATCAATTCTTGAACTAGTTATCAATTTTTTTTCTTAATTTAATTTCAATCCAGACGAAATCATTTTTAGTAATCTGCTAATCTTAAATGATATTAAATATGGTGATAAATGATTTGATACCTGCAAATGTAAAGGGAATAATTTGCAAAATTAATACTATTAAATTTTTTCTTTCTTTTAAACCACTAAAATTTTGAAATTTCTTTTCCAACTTTAACATTTTACAGCTGTGCTAGTAGATATCTCAAAATTTCGCGTCATCATTCCGTTTCTTTCTTTCTCTCGCTTCTTCTCTACCCTTCTCATTTTGCCAATTTTTACATTTTCAGAAGCTGATAAGGTGATAAAAAGAAAAAGATTGAAAAATGTAAATATTTTAAAAAAGTAAGTAAATTCAACAATCCCACATGTAAACAAATATGTAAAAATCATTAAACCTCAATTGAGCAGTAACTGATTGCTGAATGATTATCAGTTTTTATATTTGTTAGATGATAGTGATAATGGCGACATTTTTATTGTCCAAAGTAACATTTTTTGTTTGCATAATTGATAAACTATTTTAATATGCGAGAAGTTAGCAATTTTTGAGATAGAATGCTTATCTAAGAGTGACCAACGGTCATTCATCACTGTATGTTTCCTTTTTCATCATTTATTTTGTGCTTAATTTTTGTTCACAATTCGTATTCTTTCCTCATTATCTTTTTTTCTTTGTAATTTAGTTTCATCTCCTTAAATTATTTGGATTTGAAAAATTACACAACTCTTTTTTCTCCTTTTTTTTGTAAAAATAATTCTTAAGGCGCTTATAGTATGAAAGAAAACTTAGAACACAGTAAATTAATAAATATTACATAATTCTATCGATTCACATTCATCGCATTACATTGTTAAACGTACATCGACCATCTGCGATACTTTTTTATATTTTTTGATAAAATACTTTGGAATGTTCCGCTTGTAAAAATATAGCATTTTAAATTAAAAAAAAAATGCGCCACTGATTTAAGTGAGTAGTAATGCAAATGAAAAGCATAATCAAACTACAAATTAATTAACTATAATGCAAATGAAAAGCATAATAAAACTACAAATTAATTAACTGTAATGCAAGGGAAAAGCATAATGAAAGTGCGAATTAATTAACCATAGTGCAAGAGAAAAGTATAATAAAAGTAGAAATTAATTAATTGTAAACTGCCAATTTACAGTATTTCTTAACGCCATGATAAAATAAACGGTAATTAAAACTGTAAAATTGAAAAGTATGATTAATTTTAATGCTTCTTTCTTTCAAATAATTCTTTGGTAATTTTAGATGATTATATCAGTCAAGATTACTTTGATATTTCTTAGCTGCTTACCACTAACCATATTATTTGCTACCAAAGATTCCATGAAAATGTGCAATTTATGTCTGAAAGAAATGGTTGGCATCATTCATGATTTAAATGATAGCAAGGTTAAATTGTTTCTTCTTTATTTTTTCGCAGCTTCATCAAAATTTTTTTAGCACCAATAAATTTTAAGAGAGTACTATTTTAATTAATACAAGCGATTAATTTAGCTTGTATAACTCAATAGTTCAAATAACAGCGACGATTGAATCCCTGCTTTCTCTTTCCCTCCCTCTCCCCCTCATAATTTGAGGTATTTCATTGTTGTTTATTAATTGTATTGTTGAGATACAATGTATATAAGTTACTATCAAATAAAATCATCCAAATTGAAACGAACTTCATTTTTATTAATTTTTGTTTAAGGCTACAGTTCTGGCAAAGATCGATGAGAACTGTAAAGCAATTTTTGGAACAAACATGGAATGGTATCGAACATGCGTCATCGCAACGAGTAAAATTTACTTAAAACTTGCCGATAACACGGAAAAGCAATTTAATCCAAATAATTTTTGCAAGAAAATTCATATGTGTCCGAAATATTTGTAAAATTATGTTGCATATTTCATGACTTTTAACTTTTTTTTCTTTGTTTCTATTATTGTTGTCAATGTATGATAAAAACGTCCATTTGCGGTAAAAATCATTTCTTCTTTTTTAAAAAGAATGAGGAGATTGAGTGCCATTCGGTGAAATGTAATTTTGAAAGAATTTTTGTTTGCTAATCTTGCAAAATTCCGCTTACATTGTTGCAGACAGCCTCAGCCTTCTCCATCCATCCATCAATGCTTAATGGATGAACTCTCACTGAACCTCGTTTTGTACTTTGCAAAAAGGAATAAAACTGAATTTAGTTATTCTTTGCACTTTTGTGATTTCAGTGTAAATTGTTAAAGTTGCAAATGCTATCCTACAGAAAATCTTGACGTAATTAGCAACTTTCAATTGTTCAATGCGTCTTTTTTGCTGTTGCAAATTTCATTTATGATTAGTATTAATTTTCTTTTTACTTTTAGTACATTCTCGCTTTGAAGTTGTGAGTCAGCCGATGTGATATGATAAGTGATGAGCTGTCTCACTATATTTATTTCATAAAAATGATGACAGACCAATTATGATATATTCATATATTATAATTAGAAAATTTATTAGCTCATATTTGTTACATGTGAAATATTTCGAGCTATTTTTGTATTTCCCTTACAAAATTTTGGAATAACTTTGATATTCTGAAGGTCACTTGTAAATAAAACTCATATAATACCATTTACAGGAATGCTAGGAAGCGAGCGGTATCTTTCCCTTTATTAATTAAAGTTTGCAAAATATAGTAAATGTTGTGAATTTGGATTGAAAGTGGAATTGGATTGCCTGGTTTAGCTTGAGTTGATTTGTTTGTTGGTTGACTGGCTGGTTGGTTGTTGGTTGTTTGGTTTGTTGGTTGATTGTTTGGTCTGTTGGTCACCAGACTCCTCGGTAGCTTGATTGGCTGCTGAACCGACTCCTCCGTAGATTGCACGATGA